GCCTATTTCGTAATGAAATTTATAGAGCCTTCTGGAAAATTTTCAATTTATAAATTTCTATTTCATTTTATTTCATATTTTTGTTTAATACAACATGCATCATTGTTTTATCGATGTGTTCCTTTTAGGTCAAAGATATCCTCAAGCCTGAAGTTGCCTTGGAAATAGTACAAAGTGTCAGGCTGATGCTCGAAGCCATGCCTCCATAATAAAATCGTAATATGTTGTTAATTTGCAAGTAAAATCTATGCGGAGCTCTGTTTTTTCCTATTGTCCCTTTTTGGTTTCAGTCTGGACATTTAGAATTTTCCTTGACAATCTGTTGCTTAAATTATCCATTGTTAGACATGCTACTCGTTTTCGCTAGTGGCCATAATAATCATAATTACTGCTTTTTCGGCCCCCCGAGGGCGGTGCTGCATTTTGAGCAACACTAACTTTCTGCTCCTCCTGCTATTTATCGATTTAAAACTAAAGTTTTGTTTTTGAAAGAAACTTAGGGCATTGTGTGAAACAAATATTGGTAAACAGCAGCTTGCACAGTCAGAGCCTCATTATAACAAGCCCTAAATTCTGTGGTGCTTTTCGCTGTCAGATTTTGACCATAATGTTGAATCGCGCCGTCGCTGTAAATAAAGTTTTTAAATTGTGAGTTGGAATAAACAGAGTTCTCAAAATCCAGTTCATTTCAAGGCAGCTAGACGGCACCTGCAGTGCATAATTTCTTAATTCTATTCCAGTAGTGGTATTTCTTGAACTCGACGCTAATTTTCATACTTCCAAAGACATGCTTCGTCACTTACAGTTTCTAGAGCTGATCATTTATGCCAGTGTTTCTCGCGGTAAATAGCTCACATCGCCAGATGCTCGAATGGTTTAAAAGCAGTCGTGTTCAGGTGTTCAGAAGAGTTATGTTACCTCCATGCTTCTGTGTTTAACCGCATCTTACAGGATGGATGTACTCGTGAAAAATACAGACCTCCGAAAGGTGAACATCCGGCGGGGCTAAAAGTCTTCTGTCGTATCGCCGTTTCATCCTCATTGCTGCAAGCAGTGGAAGTGCTGCTATTGTCATTCGTTAAAGCGTTTCTGTTGTCGAGGATCCCTGACAGTTCGGCTACAAAAGTAATTGTGGCACTTTTGACGTTCTTGCCTCCATTGTTGATATTTTGGGAAAGAAACCCGATCAGAAGTGACCAGCGTTTCTCGTTTAACTGTGTTCCTGAAGCTGATTTAATGAAGGAGTTGCCATCTGTCGGTCTCAGGCCTTTCATTCTGCGGTTTCTGTAGACATTTTTCGCATCAGGTACACTTTGCAATAATTGGAGGAGAAAAATCGACTATTCGATTCACATCAACAACACCGTACTAGGGACAATCTTGGTCAGCATCTCTTGGACTGGTGCTCAATCCATCGAAGTTCAAGGAGCCGAGTTGAAGCGCAGCCTACGGTAGGTCTGTTTACCATATGGTCGTGATGGAAATTTGCCTAAAATTATTCGTGTCATCCACGCCGTTTAGTTGAAACATAAGCTGTTTCGTGCTGACAGGCGAACATATGACCAAGGGGTGCCATCGGCCAGGCCAAAGGAGGTGAAGAGCTATTTTAATGCCATACTTAGTGCCCAGCGGGAAAGTGTCAACACCGATTAGTGTTACAAAGACCAGTGAAGGCGTCGTTTCTTCTTCGAAAACATAGTTGGGTTCAGGAAGAGAATAGTCAGACTGCTTTGGCTCACGGAGAAGGTCCTAACTCTTATGGCGCAAAGGAGTCAAGCAAAGAAGGAATACTTGTAACATTTAACTGCACTCTCGAAGGCAGCTTATTGCCGACCTGTTCATGCAGACATCCAGAGTTGGCAGCAAGACGAGATGGGAAACTTATGCTGGAGGGAAAATTGAGAAGATCGGCAAAACATGCGAAAAAAGTGAGTGACGAATAGTGTTTAAAAGGTAATGACAGTAAGCATCGGACTCAGTTTGTGCCTTATCCAAGACGTTAAAGTTTTCTATTAGCAGATCAAAAGGAATGCCTCAAAATGTGAGCTGAGCATTTCAAACAGCTGTTCAACGGCTGCCCTTCATATTCGCCGTTTCAGACTGTTAATTCTGTGCTAATAGTAGAAATTAGTATAGAACCACCCAAGAAACTAGAAGTCTAAGATACTTTGCTATATCTGAAGGTGAAGAAGGCTTGCAGCACATATCGAATTCCTCTAAAGTTAATTAAATATGAAGTGTAGAAAGTTATATTTTCTGTTTCAGCAAATGTGGGTCTACAAAGGATTCCCAGGAGAATGGAAAATTACAATAACTGTCCCATTATTTAATAGTAATTAGGTTACCGGGGTGCTCCAACTATCGTGGTATCACACTAGTGTCAATTCCCTCTAAATTCTTCTGGGTAATTTTGGAAAGGCTGAGGCAGACAGTTGATGGGAGACCATTCGATCAGGCTTCTAGATGACGTACTCATGCCCACAAATTTTTACGTTGTATAGGATCATTGAGCAATGCCAACGATTCCAGCTGCCTTTGATTTGTCACCTTCCTCGACCTTAAGAATGCATTTCATTCACTACATCATTCGATGTCATGTAAAACCTTGAAATGCTGTGGGAAGCCGGACAAAATCTTTTCCATCATGGAAGGTATGTATGCGCAAACCGTGCCTGCTATCAGAGTTGAAAGGGAACTATCATAGCGGTTCCCAATAAGTTGTGCAGTTTGTCAGGGACGTGTGCATTCGCATTTCAACATTATTCTCGACTTTCTTGTCTGAAGCAGATCTGACTTTGAAAAGACGGCAAGTCTCATTCTGGAAGGAAGGCGCAGCTCAACATATCCTGTTAGATATCTCGCTGCACTATTCTCTTCCGGCTATACAGGATCTGAGAGGATATTGAGATTAAGAAAAGGTAGTTGAGCCTCTTAGATTAAC